AAAAAAAAAAAAAAAAAAAAAAAAAGAATGTTGTATAAAGTTCTCGGCAGGTAGATGTTCATTAAGTTGGCAGTTACCTCGCTCCTTATTTTTCTTTATTTTTAGTTATAGTTCATCCTTAAGCGTTAAAAATGCTTTTCATATTTAGTAGGAAATATGGTTTAACGATAAGTGTTAACAAATAACGTGGCTTTGGATTTAATTTGGCAAAGTATTGCTGTAGAATGGTACCTAGTTAATATGCTAACACATACTATAAGGCTGGGGTATAGTCTAGCTGATTGTAGTATGGGAATAGGAATCAGAATTTTCCATTGCTGTTACCTTTGCAGAGTTCTATTATTTAAAATAGATTTTTAGCCAGTTGCAATGGCTCATGCCTGTAATCCCAGCACTTTGGGAGGCTGAGGAGGGGGAATCACCTGAGCTCAGGAATTTGAGACCAGGCTAACTAACTGGCAAAACCCTGTTTCTACTAAGAGTACAAAAAATAGTTGGGCCTGGTGGTGGGTACTTGTAATCCCAACTACTCAGGAGACTGAGGCAGGGAGAATCGCTTGAACCTGGGAGGTGGAGGTTGCAGTGAGCTGAGATCATGCCGCTGCACTCCAGCCTAGATGACAGAGTAAGACTCCATCTCAAAAAAAAAAAAAAAAAAAATAGATTTCGTAAGTATGAAATTTGATGGAATCATTTCTGGTGCTTCATGTTAACATGCATACTGAAACTGTTCTTGTGATGGAATAGTTCATGTGGGTGTCCCTGAGTTTCAGGTGATTAGACAGGCTTCTTCACGGGAAGACTGCCTTATTGGAAAATGACTCTTGAGACAGGGTCTCACCCAGTTGCCCAAGATAGAGTGCAGTGGTGCAATCATGGTTCACTGCAGCCTGAACTTTCTGGGCTCAAGGGGTTCTCCCACCTCAGCCTCCCAAGTAGCTGGGACGCCAGATGCACACCACCACACCTGACTGTGCACCTGTGGTCCCTGGATGAACCACACCTGGCTAATGGAATGCAGGTGTGAGGCACTGTGCCTGGCATGATGACTCTTAAATAATGTGATTTGTCTTTACCCAGTGGCCCACTCAGGTTGACACATAAAATTAACCATCACATTGTTCCTTCAATAAATGTTTCCTTTCCATATTTTTCTGCAGACAGATGCACCATCAGGAATGGAATTACAGTCATGGTATCCTGTTATAAAGCAGGAAGGTGACCATGTTTCTCAGACACATTCATTTTTACATCCCAGGTGAGTTGATATTCATTTGTTTCTTCATTCATTCAACAGTGATATGCCATGGACTATTTCTGGGACGTGGGTATTTCTTTTTTTTGAGATGGAGTCTTGGTCTGTCACCCAGGCTGGAGTGCAGTGGTGTGATCTCAACTCACTGCAGCCTCTGACTCCTGGCTTCAAGCGATTCTCTTTAGCCTCCCGAGTAGCTGGGACTACAGGCGTACACCATCCCGCCTACCTAATTTTTGTATTTTTGGAAGAGATTGGGTTTCATAGTGTTGGCCAGGCTGGTCTCAAATTCCTGGCCTCAGGTGATCCACCCATTTTGGCCTCCCAAATTGCTGGGATTACAGGCATGAGCCACTGTGTCCGGCCAGGAATTTATTTCTTTAGTTTCAGGCTTTTTTGTTAATCATAGATTATCTTTGAAAATTCAAAATTATTTTTAAGTATATGCATTGGTATTTAATATATTTTTTGTTTTATTTGTCATTATATGGAAATTGTAGGTGAATTGTTTAGTCAGTCTTATGAGAAAAAATTTCAAAGAATCTAAAATGAAATGAATTGTAAATTACATTGAATATCTGAAATAACCTTTACTATGTATTTCTGTGTGTTTTCTAGAAATAGATCATTTTCTGTTTGCCCTAAAGTAAAAAATGAAAGTTCTTCTTTAATTTCTTACTTTTCTTCAAGAGGTAAACCAATTCTTGAGGAGTTTGGTATGCAACTTTAATTCTTTTTTTTTTGTTTGGACAGAGTCTCACTCTGTTCCTTAGGCTGGAGTGCAATGGTGTAATCTCAGCTCACTGTAACCTCCGCCTCCTGGGTTCAAGCAATTCTCTCGCCTCAACCTCCTGAGTAGCTGGAATTATAGGCATCTGCTCTACACCCAGCTAATTTTTGTATTTTTAGTAGAGATGAGGTTTCACCATGTTGGCCAGGCTGGTCTCGAACTACTGACCTCAAGTGATCACCTGCCTCAGCCTCCCAAAGTGCTGGGATTACAGGCGTGAGCCATCACACCCGGCCTGCAACTTGAATATTTTAAAAATAAATTCTTTTGAAACTTAGAGTTTTCTTAATAATCACACCTCTCAAAATCAGGATTTTACTTTTTCGATAAAGGTGCACCCTAGATTATAAGTTTTTTATGTTTTTTATCTACTTAGAAATCTACTTATATCTACTTATAAATCCTAGATTTTTATCTATTAGTGTAAATCTATATTCTCTCCAAGCACGGTGATTGTTAAAGAGACTGAGTC